TTCTGTCTTCCACAAAGTCCCAGGACACAGACATCGTTCAGGTACGTTCTTAGCCACTTTACCACAAGGATGACCTGTCTTCCAGTTTCTAATACCATGTTCTTCCTTTCCATCTGAGACTGTTTGTCAGAATAGTCTTTACTGTCCATATGTCCAGCAAGATTCTCTTCATGACCACTCAAGTAATCTCTAAAAGAATGAAGGTTTCTCTACAGCCCTTCTCTTCACTTCAAAGCCCTCAATAGAATTGCCCTTAATGCTCCCTTCATGGCAATCTAGGCTTTCTCTGGCATCCATTTCAAAAATGATTTCAGCCTATATGTCATTATGCAGTTCCAAAGCTACCTCCACATTTTTAGATGGTTGTTATAGAAACTCCTTACTTTTATTGTACCAATTTCTGTCTTAGTCCTTTTGTGCTGCTATAACAGAATACCACAGACTGGGTGATTTATAAAGAAGATAAATTTGTTCTCACAGTTCTGGAGGCTGGGAGATTCAAGATCCAGCCACTGACATTTGGTCTGGTGGGCACCTGCTTGTGGCCTCCTCAAATGGCAGAAGGCAGAAAGGCAAGCTACCTGAAAGCTGCATGAAGCTTTTTTTTTTTTTTAATCTCATTCAGGAGGGATGGAAAAGCCCTCCCTCATGGCCTAATTACCCCTTAAAGGCCTTACCTCTTCACTATCACATTGGCAACGTATAAATTTTGGAGGGGGGCACATTCAAACCATAGCACCTGGCTTAAAAATTTCAAAAAGTTTACAAAAAGGGGTATTTTATAAGTATATAGAAAATGAAAGGGCCAGCAAAAATTCTCAAAAAACAAATTATATCAGAACAGTAGTCAATTTCTGATCTTGGGTAATACAGCCCAAGTGCTTGGCACAATGCCCAGCACATAGTAGTTGCTTCATAAACATTCATTAAGTAAAGGAATAACCAATTTGGTTTCTTTTTTTTTTTTGAGATGGAGTCTCGCTCTGTCGCCTAGGCTGGAGTGCAGTGGAGTGATATCTGCTTACTGCAAGCTCCGCCTCCCGGGTTCATGCTATTCTCCTGCCTCAGCCTCCTGAGTAGCTGGGACTACAGGCACCCGCCACCACACCCGACTAATTCTTTTTGTATGTTTTAGTAGAGATGGGGTTTCACCGTGTTAGCCAGGATAGTCTCGATCTCCTGACCTCGTGATCCGCCCACCTCGGCCTCCCAAAGTACTGGGACTACAGGCATGAGCCACCGCTCCTGGCCTGGTTTCCTTTCTTGACAGTAGTAATACTGTCAAAGAGTAAATGTATAAATGGTTTGTATATTATAAAATATTTTAATGCACTTAAACATATTAGACTTCCAAGTTGGTAGGCCTATCTGGTAAATACAGAAGATCAGGAATTCGCACATTTGTTCATTCAGCAAATAATTATTGAATATTTCTTTATGGCATGTGCTGGCTATGTGGCAGGTAATGAAGTAGACTAAATTTCTGTCTTCATGGAGCATACATTCTAACTGGGGGAGATGGTCAATAAATATATTTATAAAAAATATTATGTCAGATGGTGCAAAATATAATGGAGAAAGCATAAATCAAAGTAAAAGAATAGAGAGGAACTAGGCGGGTGGTGAGAGAAAGCCACTCTGAAAATGAGGATGGAGAAGATGACTGAGTAAGTCATGATAAGAGCTAAGAAAAGCAGTTAAGCAAAGACTTTCATAAAATTTTTAAGGACAGAACCAAGAAATATGGGCTGTATAATAGCACTTTCAGGAGTATTCCAGGCAAACTGAATGAGTCTTCTCCAAAAGCATGGATTAACAAAAGGACAGATATTGACCCAGATGAAAGTTCTTATGGCCATGTGATACAGCTCTGATTCGAGCTCTGTACTGGTTCATATTTAATCATGATTTAAAGATACAAAAAAATAGCTAATTAAATTTGAGCATCACACAAAACTTGGAGAGAAACGTAAAATCTTTGGATTACAGAAATAACATTTGTAAAGGTCTTAAGAGACTGAAGCAATTGCTCCAATTTAACAAGATAAAATTAGATCATATCTAGAAAGTATTCTGTAAAGTACATGATAAGAAGAGGTGGCTTAAGCAACAGTATGTGGGAAAAAGAACCTGTATGGGTTTTTTGTTGACACTAAGCCCAATTTGAACCATGTGATATGACTACCCCTGGAAAGCTGATGAATTATTAAGGAACTATTAAGTATTTAGGGCCAAGGAAATGACACTTTCACTAAATTCTACATTCATCAAACCATATCAAAAATAGTATTGTGTTCAGTGCTGACGATCAACATTTGAGAGAGATTTAAACAAACAGATGCATCTACACAGCACCAAGGATTAAAATCCATGTAATAAGAAAACAAACTGAAGGAACTAAGGTTATTTATCAGGGAGATGGATAAAATGCACTTTTATGTGAGGGGTTGGGAGACAGTTCATAGCTATCTTCAAATATTGAAAGGGCTGTCCTGTTGAAGTAACTAAATTGGATTTATTCTGTTTATCACAAAAAGTTGAAGTAGGATCAATGGGTGGAAGCACTCTAGGAAGGAATTTTGGTTGATCATTTAAGAAAATGTCACAATTATTCAATTAGGATGTTAAGACTCCCTGTTACAGGATAACTGTTTTGGGAGACAGGGATTGTTGCAGTGAGGGCTCAGAGAACTAGGTGTCCATTAAGGTACTTCTACTTGATGGTTCTATAATTGATGCAATAGATGAGTCTCTTTTTTTCTTAGCAATACTGAGGCAGCAGCTTGCTTCTCTCTCTCTTCCCCTACCACTTTCTTCTAGGGAGAGGAGTGTCTTCAATAAAACTTTTTCCCACTCATTTTTTCTCACATTTCTTGTTTTAATTTCCCTGTTGTTTCAACTTCTCTATTACTGATGTCTTTGAACGTTTTTTATATTTACAATAATTTTCTGATTACATGTTATTAAAAGAAGTATAGCAAAATGATATATAAAAATATGGTGAGTTACATTTAGTATTAATACTCAAAAACTACTTTTTATTTATATTCAGACAGATATAGAATAGCTGTGAAATCACAATAGCCAGTGTCTTCAGCACTTAAGTCCTGCATCTTACACAAAAATGAATTCAAGGTGGATCACAGATTACATATGTAACATAAAACTATAAAACGTATAGAAGATAACAAAAAAGAAAATCTTCAGTAAGTAGAACTTGGTGAAAAGTGCTTGGAGATGACAGCAAAAGCATGATCCATAAAAGAAAAAAAAATGAACTTCATCAAAATTAAAATTTTTGCTTTGTGAAAGTCCCTGTTAAAACGATGAAAAGATAAACTATAACTGGGAGAAAATATTTGCAAACTACATATCTGATGAACTACCACTGTAACATTATACAGAACTCTCAAAACTCAACAGTAAGAAAACCAAGGACTCCCTTTAGAAAATGAGTTTAAGACATCAAGAGACATTTCACTGAAAGCCACATATGGGTGGCAAATTAGCATATAAAAAGGTGTTCAATATCATTAGCAGTTAGGAAAATGCAAATTAATACAAGATGAGATATCACTATGCATCTATTAGAACAGCTAAATAGAAAACAATGATAATAACAAATGCTGGTAGGGATGCGGAATAGCTGGATCTCTCACACATTGCTGGTGGAATGTAAAATGGTACAGCCACTCTGGAAAATAGTTGGATACTTTCTTTAAAAACTAAACACACCGACTGGGCTCAGTGGCTCAAGGCTGCAATCCCAGCACTTTGGGAGGCCAAGACGGGTGGATCACGAGGTCAGGAGATTGAGACGATCTGGGCTAACACTGTGAAACCCTGTCTCTACTAAAAAAAATACAAAAAACTAGCCAGGCGTGGTGGTGGGCGCCTGTAGTCCCAGCTACTCGAGAGGCTGAGGCAGGAGAATGGCATAAACCTGGAAGGCGGAGCTGGCAGTGAACTGAGATCCGGCCACTGCACTCCAGCCTGGGCGACAGAGCGAGACTCTGTATCAAAAAAAACAAAAAAACAAAAAAAACTAAACACACCCTTACCATATGACCCAGCATTTGTATTCTTGGGGCATTTATCACAGAGTAATGAAGACTTATGTTCACTCATAAACCTGTATAGCTTTGTTCACAGGAGCTCTGTAAATAATTACCCCAAACTGGAAAGAACCAAAATATTCCTGAATGGTTAACTGTGGTACGTTTATACTGTGGAATACTATTTATCAATAAAAAACAACTATTGTTACAAGCACAACTTAGATGGATCTCAAGAGCATTATGTGATGTGAACAGATCCAATCTCAAAATATCACATACTATATGATTCCACTTATATAGCATTTTCAAAATGACAAAATTAAAGAGATGGAAAGCAGATTAGTGGTTGTTAGAGGTACAGATTGTGGTAGAGAGGAAGTGGGTGAGGTAGCATGAGTGGTATCTTTGTGGTGATGTTATGAGAAGTGCTGTACCTTGATTGTTGTGGTTACACAAATCTATACACGTGATAAAGTAATGGTACTATGTACATGCATTGTACTAATGTCAAATTCCTGGTCTTAAAATTATACTATAATTATGTTTGACATAACAATGTGGGAAACCAGGTGACGGATACATGAAACCTCTTTATTACCTTTGCATCTTCCTATAAACATATAATAATTTTAAAATAAAAAATAAAACAAAAAAGGTGATCTTGACAATTCAATGAAGAAACATAATGGCTTTGTATTTTATATCGTAATTCTATCTCTGTCTAGGAATAGCTTCCTAACTGCAGTAGTAAGAAGGAGAATAGAAGATAGAAATTAAGGGCTACGGAAATTACTATTCATTGGTCCCTAACTCTAAGGAGAGATATGAAACAGTCTAGGTCGAAGAAATAACTAAAAAGTATTTTTAAAACTATAAGGACAAGGAAACAGATAAACTTTTTAAAAAAGTAATTACCTTAACATGAAATTCATTGTCCAATAGGATATTCTGAGTCTTCAAGTCATGATGAAGTAAAGGAGGAGTCATATTGTGCAGGTAATTTACACCAAGGGCAATTTCATGCAGAATGCGAAATCTCAATGGCCAAGCAACATCAGGATATTCAGTTTTCTTCATATATATGTGAAAAGAAACAAAATAAAATTAGTCCAAATTTCACTACGTTTCACACTTAGAAGTTAAATATTCCATGAGGAAATACAGTATAAACTAAGGTTAAAACATATGCACATTTTTATAAAATAGCGTCAATTTGATAGGGTTTAACATTTACGTGTCTTACTTTCCTCACTTTCTAGAGAAAGTTATGATAACTTTATAGCACGAATACTTCCTTTTAGTTTATGTCGGTCATGCAACTACATGGTTTTGGGTCTTTCTTCAACTGACACAGATCTCAGTTATTTTGTGTCTATACATAGCCAAAGTCATATACTTACACCCACATCCACCTCTCCATTCTATGTCTTAATCAAGTAATTTGAACGCACACAAATACACACAAAATTACACACAATTTATTTCTAGTAAATACCAAGCCATTCATTCAAAATTTTTATTTTAATTTTATTAATATAAAATCAGACTTTATTATAATCACTGCATCAGTTATAAATTATGACCATATTTATTGACTAAGCACTAATTTATCATACATTTAATCATATAATTAATTTATCTGCATTCCAGCTTATAAAATTAGCCTTTTGATTTGTTTTTGTGGAAGGGGACAATCATTTTTGTTTCTAAAACTATACAGTATAGACACATTTAAAACATAACGTTTTATTTTTCATAGTACTCAACATCCATCTGAGCTTTCTTAAAATAAATGTTTTCTGAACACAAAAGTTAATGTAGCTTCCCAGGAGAATGAACATACTTCGGAAGACCAGGCAATTTGGGAAGATCAACAATGAATCACCAGGCACCATGCCACATTTTTCTAAATGCTATGAAAAAGACTGCTTCTACTGAAAGTACAAAACTGATCTTGAGAAGTTTTTCTGCAAATGCGTCAGCTTATAGTTCAGTGATCAATCTGGCAGGGGGAGTGGTTCAAAATATTTTAGACTGTTTATGATACATCTTGAGTTTTTTCAATGAATTTTGTAAGGTTGGGGGAGGGCACGTCAAGATAAATCCCACCCTAAATAATGCAATACAGGAAACCAAATGAAACACAAAAGACTAATGTGGAACATTACTTTCTCTGGTACACACAGAGCCCTGTCCCCTAGAGAAACTGAATCTTTTAATCTACAAAAAAGGTAACTTTTTCTGAAAATTACGCAGTTTAAAGCAGTTACCAGGCCTCTCTGCAGCATAATGTAATATGGAGGCTTGTGATCATGGAGACAAGGGAGAGAAGTGCTCACTCTATATTTTATGATTTTTTTTCCAGGAGTTAGCAGTCCCCTGGAGGAGGCTGTAGAATGTCCAGTGAGCTGCAAATTTGAGTGCCAGAGTATCTGCTGGGGTGTGGGAAGAAAATGTTAGATTTCTACTTATATTCATTTCTCAACAAAAATAAACGAGAAATTATGATTTATTAATATTTGTATCTTGGTTGCTGTGGTAGTTACACAAATCTTACAGACTGACACCAGTTACTTATTCCATCCTTGTTTCAAATGATCACAAGTCACGAATAGAATGTGATGTATTCTGAAACAGAGAGGAAGTTACTCTATGACTGACTGACAGTGGCACCCACTTTCCCTTGGCCACTTACAGGGCATTGTGTTACACTATCATTTAGGAGTATCCATTGATTGGATTTTATAGATTATTACAGTTTTAATTAGGCCAACCCTCACAAAATGGACCAAGTGGTTTAAAAAGATTTATTGAAACTACAGACTCATGATAATATTAATAATGAATACATATATTTTGAGAATGAGGACCCCTGAATTTGTTTACTCATGGGATTCACAAAGAGAAAGTGATTGGTACCTTGAGAAAAAAGGTAAATGGCTCATACCACTGTCTATTATTAGAAAAGCTAATGTATCTGGTATTCAGAGATAATTTATTAATATCTGGCCTGCTAATTCAGAACTTCATGAACTGGTATTCGTAACATTAAATTTGAATTTGAAATTGCTATTAATATAAAATAAAATATCACTTAACAGTGGATTTTACAGTGTGCAGAGTTTATCTTTTCCATTTCTACCCATGTAATATGCATATAAATACTAGAATTTGGTATAAATGTTAGGAATGGTAACTCAGGCAAAATAATCTAGAGTACAGGGCCTGAATCCACAGTGTTTTAATCAACACAAAAATGTCACAAAAGGTAAAATTTTATCCCTGTGATAGTTTTTCATTATTCGTTGATTCATCTATATACCCTGAAATAATCTGATCAAACATAAAATCAAAGTAAAATATAGTTTGAATAGTAAAAATGGTAATTATGGCCACTAAAAATGTGTAATACTTACCCTATGTAGGAGTTCATTTAATGATCCATTTGGCATGTATTCAGTAACTATTCCCAAAAATTCAGGCTCATTGCAAATTCCCAAAATTGGAAGAATGTAACTAAATCTAGCTTTGTGTAAAATTTCAGCTTCTCTTAAGACATCCTTTCTTTCACTAAGAGAAGAAAATGCATAATTACTTCAAGTAATACAAAATATACAATTATCATGCCTGTAAGATTAAGCCTGGATTTTTTTCATTAATTAACTATGTGACCTCATGTAAATTATGCAACTTCTCTGCACCTTAGTTTCATCATATTTAAAACACAAATAATACCTACCCTATATATTCCACAAGTCTGTTTAGAGACCAAAATAACTTCTATAAGCCACTGACAGGTAAAAGTGCTAAACACAGGTTATTATTATTGTACTTTTCCTAGGAAAGGGAAAGAACATAGTATTAAATTAATAAAGTCTATCTAGGTTAGAATAATCGGTGCTTGAACTAATTACATAATTAAGTTTACACATACATTGTATTCAAATGAACATGTTTTATCAGAATATTATATTAAATTTTATGGTTGCATACCATATAAACATTTTCCAAATATCCCGAATATTAAAACATTTAAATGTTATAGATTTAATAGCTGCATAAAAGTCAATAATATTTATAAATTATATACCAGAACTCAGGAAAAGAACACTGAGAACAGGTAAATGCTTAATAATATTAATAGATTGCTGGGGTAACTGGCTCCCAGGTTCCTTTGCTTATGCATATGTAAAACAAATATATATTTAACTATTTTTTTTCTATTTTTCTTTGTCACCCAGGCTACAGTGCAGTGGTGTGATCACTGCTCACTACAGCCTCAAACTACTGGATTCAAGCCATCCTCCCACCTTAGCCTCCCCAGCAGCCAGCAAGCCCCACAGGCATGCAACCATGCCTATTTTTTTATTTTTTTATTTTTGTAGAGACAAGGTCTCACTATTTTGCTCAGGCTGGCCTCAAACTCCTGGGCTCAAGTGACTCTCCAGTTTCAGCCTCCCAAAGTGCTGGGATTACAGGTGTGAGCCACCTTGCCTGGCCACATTTAACTTTTATTATGGATAAAGAATGATGCTCAGCATTATGGAAAATATATAAATTAAAAAGATATAGTCTTTGCCTTTGAGTTGCCCAGAAATCTTTTAAGTAAAATAAAAATACAAGGCAGAAGGTAATAAATGCGACCAAAAGAGAAAAGAAAAGGAAGCTATTGGGAAATCAGAGAAAAGAGAGTACATTTGAGGTTAGGAGAGTCATTTACAGTCTTCAGAAAAGTAGGATTTTGATCCCAGATGTACCATAAGAATGAACAGAATTTAAACACTGGAGGGTATCTAAGACAAATGAGGCCTCCACTTGAGGAGGGGATGTGCTTTCTTTTTAACCTGTATAATGCCTAGCACTTGGAACAGTGCCCTGGACATAGTAATGTATCAGATGTTCAAATAGGTAGGTATCAAATGAATTCAAGGAAGTTAAAGGGAAGGCTAAATTTGGGAAATTGTGAATTGTTTAATGCAGATCAGGATATGTAATATAAAAGGAGTGAAGGTGAATAAGACAGGTTAGGGCCATTTCTCAGTCTTAAAGCCTGGTTAGGGTGGTGAAACTTCATTTAGCAGCCACTAAATTGTGACTGATGGTTTGTTTGATGCTTTTTTTTTTTTACATACAGAATACATGCTGGAAACTTTTTTTTTTTTTTTTAACAGACCAGATCTTGCTGTGTTGCCCAGACTGGCCCTCCCTACTCTGCCTCTTGAGTAGCTGGGACTACAGGGGTGTGCCAACGTACCTGGTGTGACTGAAAGTTTTTGAGTCAGGGAATGACAGTAGAATAAAATTTTAAGATGATTAATTTGGCAACAAGATGTAGGATTAGTAGAAAGTGGTAGAGTTTGAAAGTCAGGTGTTAGGAGATTTTAATACCAGTTAAGACGTGAACTTAAAACTACAAAGGTAGCAGTGGAAATGCAAAGAAAAACACTAAGTGAATAGAATGCTCGGGTTGTGGTGACTGACTATAGGGGGTTAAACAAAAAATGAAAAGGAATGGGAGATGTCATTATTTTTTTTACCCTGGGTGACTGGATGTTGGTTGCAGCAATGACAGAAATAGAAATGTTTCCAGGAGAAGCCTATTAGGTAAGTAATGATGGTAAGTTAGTTCTTACACCTCTCAAACTCTTAATGAATGGCTGTTGAAATATGAATAGCAACAGACATTCTAGACCAGACTAAGATGGATTGCTTTTAAAAACAAACAAAAAAACAAAGCAAAAGAATCTTGGTCATTTATGTTTTGAATAGGTCATATATTTATATGTCTTAAAATTCAAGAGTAACAAGAAGGCATAAAGTGAAAAGCTTCTCTCATTCTCTGTCCTTCAATCACTTAATACTCCAACTGCTAGGAAACCAATTACATCAGTTTGTGAGACCCATTTCAATTAAACGTTTATTCCCTAGATGGAAATAGTTCTGTATTTGCCCCAAGAGATTTGGGCCAACAACAGAGGATGACCCTGAAGATTCCTGGATACTAAGAACAATAGAGAGTGCATGCTGCAGAAGTCTCAGTGATACTTCATACACTCTTTCCTCCTCCCATTAAAAGACATTCTTCTTTCCACTGTGACCCTATTACACGTCAGTCACTTTACATGCACTAGCATCCTAAGATCACCCTCTAAACATAGTTTCATTATCTCCACTTCATAAATGAGGGCACTGAGGCTCAGGAAAATTAATACTTTTCTAATGGTCACACTAATAAGTGGCAGGGTTGGCGTCAGATTTGAATTGCAATTATGGCTGCATTCTTTCTACCCTATTGCTTGATCAAAGAATATAGTTGGACAGTTCTTGAAGATAGATTTTTGGCAAGATTGAGTGAGTAGGAAATTTTTTTTAAAAGCCAAGAGATTGTAAAAATTGATTTTTATATTTTGAAAATAAAGGCGTAAAATACAGCTTCTATAGTCACATCACCAAAATTAACTCAAAAATTTAATAAAAAAGTTACATCATCTACAGGGTATTTGAACAACCAATTGGACTCATTACTCATAAGGGGTGGGAAGATTGTTGGGGAAGGTCCACTCATCGGACAGAAGTCAGATTATGGAGACTGATTCACCAATCATTAAAATAAGGGCATGTAACATTGCATAAATTTTTCTTTCAGGTCATCCCAAAGAACAATGCAAACATTCTTCTCCATAGCCCGAGACACACATGTATTTATTATTCCTATTTTATAAGTGAGGAAAGAGACACCAGTGAGTCAACTGCATAGCCTTGTCTAATGCTCAGACTACATAAATACTGCACTGATAAGATCTTAAGTAACAAATTGGAAAAAAGAATGTGATGCAGTAATGCCAGAGTGTTTCACTGGTCTTATGGCTTCCTCGAAGACAGAATTAATTTCCTACCCAATTCAGTGAAGAATTTTAGACTATGAAAATTGTTCATGAGCATGGGAAAGAAACTCCCTCTTCACTTCTTGGTCCCCAAACTGTACAAAGCTTAGATAAACTAAAATCCTGAGAAGCAGCACCCAAAGTGGGAGGATCAATTGGCTTTTCAATACCTATTGGGTCCATCAGTGCTATATTTCCATACAGTGTTTGCATAACTGGTTCTAACATATATCCATCCTCTCTAACCAACCACCACCCTTAAAAGTTGACTACAGACACATATACACACTTGCCCAGCACTTGCGCCACAGAACATAAGGCCCAGAGTAAACAGACACCACACCTTGTATATCACTGAATCTGGATTATGATAGAAAAGAAGTGGAAACAAGCTCTAGAGGTGTCCCAGATCTCCTGTGCCATTTAGGCCATCCAAGCCTGACAGTGAGACAATGAAGAAAAGTCACAGGTAGGTGAAAATCCAGTAACTTTGGCAGGGCAGAAGCTGAGGAATTTATCTGATACTGGATACAGCTTCTGGCCAATCAGGCGTCTGTGATGACGTATTTTCACATTAGATATAGGAGGAGGAGAAGAGAATGTTGTAATCATGGATGTTAACTCACTAAGAA